TTTATTATAATGATGTAAAACCCTTATCACGTCTCGAGAAGGAGAGTAAATATTCTAGTACGCTCTTACCTACTGGATATCTGCCTAAACCAAGAAACAGTTATTATTTGGATTCAGCTGCGGGTATGGTTACTTGCTGATACCAATGAAATCAATTTACAATATTAACACTGTGCATTTTTTATAATTTAGAGACTCAACTCTTTTTTGAATAAACTTGTAATTCAACGGGCTTATTTACAGTTATACGAGTTTTATTCAAAGGTTCGTATTATGCGATGTGCTCCACGTATGTCAATATGGTTGAGTTAACAGGATGCCGAAATAAAATTGCTGTTAGCTGGTAGATCATTTGACTATGTAAGAAAATATTATATATATTTATTAAAAAGTAAATCTTGAGACTAATTTTTTATGCAATTGGTAATGAGTTCGATGGTTTCTGAATAAAATGCGTAGCAACGTTCGAGTTCATTCCAGCACCAGCCGGATGATGCGTGCTTCCTGACATTGTTTTCATACCCAAACCAGTTCTTTTTTAAATGGCCCCATGCAGTCGGTCAATAAGGCCTTGATAGACGCGATAGCGACTTCATGACTAGAAAGAATTTCTAGAGATGCGATAAATAAAAGCAGATCCCACACCTTCTCGAATCTTCCTTAGGTCATTCCGCGCGGTATTACGCAAGTGATGAATCATCAATCCTCAAAGACATATCGCCACTCTTTTCACAATATTGCGCATAGCCTTTATGGAACTACTATCGCGAGGGACTTTTATTTTTTACGGCCCGCAACGACGCAAGTTCCAACAACGGAAATAAAATTGCCAGTGTGTCAACCAATATATGCTCCGTTCATACTATTATTGCACAATAAAAATAGGGGTCTGAAACTTGGCCCTGAGAGTTTGAGCAAAATACTATCTAGTTGTTTTTATTTTCACAATAAAAAGTGTTTAGATATTCCCAATTTGTGACACAATTGGCCTGCATTCAGTTATGAGCATAAGTTAAGATATCGTAGATTTACGCTATATTGTAATTGTTCTCATCAGCACCAGATTTGGGTTACTAAATTTGGGAAGGTAGATAGTTTAGCACTCGGAGTACTCCCCCAATCTATTGCCAAATTTGGCAAAATACCTACTACTAAATATGGTAGGGGAAGAAGTGCTAATGAGAACACCCTAAAAACTTTACATTCTCAATCCCTGTATATGTATACAAATGAAGTTACACAAACACTGCATGCTATTTGATGGACAACGTTTGGCCGGAAAAAAACTAAACATGAGTATTATTAAGCGGTTCAAAGCTACAGATTTGTTCAAGTTCAATAGCATGTAAGATTATTGACAATTCAAGTCAACGAATTATTTATCTGGGATCTAATCATTAGTTCTTCTAATAATATTAGTAACCTTGACACTTTGACAGAGACAGTATGTCTGGAACTCTTTTTCGATATCGAATCTCTTCAGTTTTAAATTAATTCTGAGCAATCATTAAAACCTTCACATTCTGCCAACCGTTGTTTCCTTTATCAACAGTATAACATCTCATTCTACCTGTCATACTTGTCAAAATGGCCCAATTTGTTCTACTCGGAAGAATCGCCTGAAGGCAAACTAGTGGGCTATGGTAAAGTAATTCAATCAATATAGTAATTGGAGGTGCTTAAATTCGCACAACTAATTAGAATGCATTCACCAAAAGTCATGGGTAAAGCAGAGGGACGAGATAGAGAGCTCCATGGACATGTGACAGCAATCACTGTTGCTCCGGAATACCGTCGTTTGGGTCTGGCTGATGGGATGATGGAACTTCTCGAGAATGTGTCTGACAAAGTGTAAGCTCACGTGGCATACTTAGTCATGATCGATTGTAACTTTTTTTTTTCGTGGCTAATGTAATATCATCCATTGAATTAGATACAAAGGCTATTTTGTTGATTTATTTGTACGCGTATCAAACACAGTCGCTATTGGAATGTACCAGAAGTTTGGTTATAGTGTTTATCGCCGTGTTGTTGGTTATTATTCTTCAAACGACGAAGAAGAAGATGCATACGGTAAGTTCCATTAAAGGAATTGTTGATCTAAAATAATACAACCATTGAAATGCTAACATGATCGATCGCTATATTCTTTCGACCCCAATAAGATATGAGAAAACCTTTATCTAATGATCCGGAAAGATTAAGTGTAGTAGAAAATGGGGAATCTATTTATGTAAAACCTGAAGACTTGACTTGAAACAAAATACATCGTCATGGTGATTCGACCATTTCGCTGTCCTATATCCAACGGCAATACATCATGCAGAATTAAATAATAGTTTCTTTCAGTAATACTGTAAAAAGAAAAGTTTTACAAGAGAATAATGTCAGTTTATCAAATGTGTTGAGTTAAAGTCTAAGCATGCAGAGATGAAAAGAACAAACAACTCAAACTAGACGCAGACTCATTGTAATTGTAAAGTAATTACGTACGTGTAACTTCAAATCACTATTCTACAGAGCGCACTCTTCTTCATTGACTACCATAACGCATACAGAGTAGTTTTCCTGTGCGTTTGGAATGTATGCTTGCATTGCATCACGTGCATGTTAGAAGGGACCGTTATACAAACATACCCAATAAGTAAAAAGATCTTATTGCGCCACACGAGCCTGAGAAGGGGCAATTTTGACATTGCAATTTAACACATTTCCGAAAGGAGATTATCCAAATCGATACCTAATTTTTCACTACGTTCCTACTCCTCATTAAACCAATGGCAAAGTTAAACCCTCTTTGTACAGTCCTAGTTACAATTATCGAAGGCCGCTACTTTCCAGAAACGCCAGATTCAAAGTTATACATTGAATGCCGCTTTACCGACGAAATACTCTCGACAATCACTCCCGACTCCAATTCAATATTATGCACAGACACTGTCGAACAAACAGGATGTCCAATATGGGATACTGAATTGGCATGGGAGGTAGATCAGAAGACTTTAAATCTATTAAAATCGCAATGGGCAAATCTGAAACTACAATGCTTCTCTTTGAATTCAATGGGGAGAAGCGAACTTATTGGATATTCAATGTTAGATCTCAGAGCCGCTGCTTATAGACCAGGCAAAGATACATGGATTTCGTTATTGAACCCGAGTGATCGGGGTCTCTGTCCCGAAGTTCGAGTGGGATTCTGTATTTTGACTAATTTATCAACGGATTCAACATCCATTGAAGATTCGATTGAAGGAACAGTGGTAAACGGGATATCTAATATATCTAAACATCCTAACATAAAACGAATAGACACTGGGACATATCGTATTGGCGCAGAACCCGATGACATCTTTATATTATCAATCACAATTAACTTTGGTGCCAACCTTCATTTACTAATTCCAAACTCTGCGTCTTTTCTATCAGATAAATTGAATACAGACTCGGACACTTCCGCTATGAATTCCGCACTCTACTTTCAATACACTTTTCTCGAAAGTGTTATAAAGGGAAGTAAATTCCATGATTTATTTCATCCTACCATGAAACCAGAAACAGCAACGTTCAGATTTCACTCAACTCTGGTAGATTTCCAATCTTTTCTCATTCGGGAAAGTAAACTAGTGGTTAATCTGTACCAGGAAACGAAACTCATAGGATTCGCAGAGATCCCGTTGACAGGTTTATTTGATGCGAAAACTGGAGACCCTCGATCGCTGGATAGAGTATGTCCCATTTATAACACAAAGAAAGAACTTTCAATGTCGCCCGATGCACAAACACCCAGAATCGGTATATTCTTTGCCGTTCGCATAGATGACACAAATGCAATTCTTGATAATTTGAGATCGGTGGACTCACCAAAACAGGATAAAGATAAATCTCGAACTGACAACAATGATCAATCGTTACTTGTGGAACACGAGTACCGAGTTCACATTGATTTAAAGACAATAAAATTAGTCAAGACTTTCCGGGACATTTTCATTAGGTACAGTTACCCTGCGTTAGGTATTACAAACAGCAAGACGACTCAAGACCTTCCTAACGTAGAAGAAGGCATCGACCAAAGTATATCAAATGGAACAACGGCCATCGATGTCAAAATAACTCCTCTGCGATTACAAAGATACTTTGAGACAGTTCCTTTATTGATGGATATATGCCAGCATCTGGAATCGAAGGATGTACAAATCGGAATAGTATCTCTCACATTAGCTGAAGTGTTTCAGGCTGATTCTACTCGAGACGACGAAACAAATGTGGAAATGATAACGTACAGCACAAGAGCACCAATTAAATCGGTAGGCGTAGCAACAATTCCCGAACTGGGGCATATCAACGTAACTATAAGAATAGAAGATTATGGCGCGAGAGAGTCTGCAGTTCGACAAAACAGTACATCCATCTTTCCTCGTCCTTTGTCCGAAGGATCTCCCCAGCTAGATGCCGAACAAGAATACGAAATATCTACAGACCCGGGCCGTGTCTCTCGCCTATCCAACAATTCTGGTATGGGTGATTATCCCACCCGATCAGCGCACAATAGTTTTCGATCAGAGATTTTTCAACAAGCAGAAGAATACATGAGATTTAATCAGGAAGTTCTTCGATCGAAAAAGGATGTTTCTCCACAAGGTATATACAGAAACAGAGTACAACAATTACGAGCGATCGACCACCAGCTTCAGCAGTCTGTGTTGTATTTCCGAACACGCGACGAGAGTCTAAAGCGTGCCGAAAAGGATATAGAAGCACGGTGGCTGGAGCTGGATAGACAATTCGAGCAGAAAACTAGGGAAATGAAACAAGCGCTCGAGAGAGAATATCAAGAAAAGGAAAGAAAGTTGAAGCAGACTACGCCGGGGAGCGAAGAGAAGATAAGATTGTTGCAAGACGAAGTAGAGAGTCTAAGGAATGAATTGGAATATTCGAAAAGGGCGGCACAGCAATATGAATCGCAGTGGCTAAGAGCACTAGAGATCGTTGCGGGAATGGATTCCAATGCCGAAGAGATTGACGAGTTATATGTGACTGGTGGGATTGAGAACGTTGGAGATAATTGGATGCAAGTAAAAAAGTTGGCAGAAGAGGAATTAAAGTATATGGATAATGATAGACTAGCTTTGGAAAATCTAAAGAAAGAGCTAGACAAATTGAGAGCCGTATGTTGAATTGTATGCTCCTATAGTATCCCCTTTTTTGGTAATTGAAGACGGGTTTTTTGTTGTTTTTCTTAATTTATATCTTTTGTTCATAATGCAATTTATTTTGTAAATACATCCTTTGTCAGACTGTTGACATTTGTCGATGAGATAATCATCATTCCCCCTTTCCCCTACATGTTCTATAAACCACTGTTCCTTCCACTATACAACCCCCCAATAAACCTTTCCTGGCATTTTTTTTCTAATAAAGTAATATTGGTTCTGTCTAACATCAGGTCGTCGTCTTGAATCATTCGTTCTGATCCTGGCGCAGGACATTAAATAGATGACTCTTTCGATGATATATTTGCCGCGAGACTTGATGATCTTGTTCTGGATACGAGGATTCGGATCCAGAATTAAGAATTAGTTTCGTTAAATCGTAAATTGCTGTTGTGTAACTCGGCGATAACACACAGTAGATGTTACATGGCCAATGAAAATGATTAATGCATTACAAGTTTTTTGATGAAAGTCAGCTTGATATTGAGGGCAATAACAAAATATCGAATTCTCTCGTCTCTGTAATCTCATACACTTTCTCTGCTCTCAAACCGTTCTCTCTCAGTTCTAACACTTGAACAAACATGGGCGAAGGACATTCCTGGTGGGGCCATATGGGTGGGCCCGTCCAACGCGGAGTTGTAACATACTCTATCTCGCCTTACCAACAACGTGCCTTTGCTGGTGCATTAAAGCACGGCATCTTCAACACATACAGACGCGTTGCTTCTCAGTCATTATATATTGGTATTCCGTTTGTTCTTGGATACTTTATATACACAGAAGGCAAGAAAAAGCATGAATACTACCATACCAAAGCTGGTATAGCCGAGTTGGATCCTCATCAATAACGAGGTGAGTCAAGGAAGGAGTGATGGAGAATGGGGGAGGGGGAAAGAATTCGAGAAAGCAGTTGATACTGATTTGTATTGCTTCTATTTTTCTTTTTCTTTTTCTTTTTCAGAATGGATGATGATATACGAACCAAAGATCCTCTTTCACATTATACATTCACGCTGTACTTGTCCGTCTCAATTAAATAAACGCACGCATTCGTATTATGAAGTTGAAAAAAAAAAAGAGTTTACCTGTATATCATTCAAAACAGAAATATAAAAAAAACAATCGCTATACAAAAGAAAACAACAATGGAAGCATAATATCAATCGAAAGAAGCAGAATACAACTAAGTAATATGTTTCAATCTCTACAAATAAGATAATGCAAGAAGCATGGAAATAGGAATGGTAGGAAGGTTTGCTCGCTATAATCTTATTATTTATGTCCCAATCTAGTAACAGAATGTGTTCTTGCAATGTGTGAAAATGATCTAAGTAATAGAAAAGTCCATCTGCGAATTGAACATGAAATCTATGCCAGATAATTGTACACCCGCCTTTTTGATGCAAATTCGGGACAATATAGTTAGTATATAGCCATAAAAGTTAATAAATGATCACACTACTTTCAATTTCCTCTTACCTATCACCAGGCGCCCGCTCTAAATAGTCCCTATCGATTAACGCCTCGATCCTCTTCTTAATCATTCCCGGATAAGGGTTAAACCTCGAACTCAACTGTTTCACCACCTCTGCTATCAAATTATTGTGTTCCATTGTCTTTCTATCCTTCATAATTCTCACCACGGCAGCCTCAATTTGGTGTTTACGTGCCTCTTCCACTTTCTCCCTTGTATCCTTGCGCTCTCCTTCTGTTTCAACCTTACTGGCAACAGTCTGGATTTTAATGCGTTGCAGTGGGGCGACAAAGTCATTATTGAAGAAGAATTGATCATTGACATTGATGTCTTTCGATTTTGGCTCCTTTGTGAGGATTCTGTATTTTGCGCAAGCGAGTGATTGGAGGTTACGCTTCAAGTCTGCTTCGGGAATATCTGATTCGCCTTTTATTTGCTATAATTCAGAAAGAAAAGGTAAGAAGATAAATGTGAAAAGAGAAAAGAAAACTTTAATCACAGTGAGATTTACCTCGTAGGATAGCGAATCTCTTTCCGGAAGGTCATTAAACATTAACAATATGACCATTTGATAAGTCGATACATTGATTTCATGCTTCTTATGTTTAAACGTAGCACGAATATCAGCAGTTCCCTGATTATAAGAAAGAATATTTGTTCTTTTCGTGAATATATGGATCAAATAGTCATATTTTTTTTCTCCACTAATCTGTTTGATAGTCTCTTACCAACACACTTTCACACACCCCTCTTCTTTTTCATACCATATTCGACTGCCACGTCAATCTTCGACCACTATGACGTTCAAGGTAAAATCTCTGAAATGTATCGCAGGCTTTTGTGATTTCAGCTGGGAAGTTGCAACGAGGACTTGCCGATAAATTCATCGGCCAGAACGTGGATGTGAGAACAGTCACGTTGAGATCCAGTTTTGGTCGCTATTTTTTGTGGAGGGGTATTGATTTGTAAGCTGATAGATAAATAAGAGGAGCCAACATTACTTCATAATCATTCTTGCATTTACCGCGATCCCCAATTTATCGGGATATTCTCTAAAGTCGGACATTGTATCTGCTGATATTCTCATATCGTTAAACATTCCTTCTAATTTTGTGGTGAATTGATAACCACATTCGATCTGAGCATCAATGCAAAAGACTTTTTGATTAGAAAAATGTCCATTGCATGATAGCAATACAATACCAAAAGAAAAAATTCGTTTATGACACACCTTGAGTTTGGCAATCATTCCTCGTTCAGCATCATCGCTTACACTACGTTGGAATAAAAGTCGTTTCGCAAGATGCTGTTTGTAGTAACGCTCAAAGACATCTTTTTCATTGATGAATCGGAAGAGCGTAATCGTCTTGTCGAGTACGCTATCGACTTCGTCTTCTGTTTTCTATTAAATAAACGTTGGATAACCGTTTTGAGAATTAGGGATTGGTTGATTTGAGTTGTGAGCACAGCAAACGCTGGCAATATTAATGGATTGCAAACTTACTCCTTTAAGACCCTTCTTAAGATTCTCGTCGATAAATAGTGATATGAACTCGGGAGACTTTGAGTTATCATTAATAAAGCTTCCAAAAGCCTGCAATACGACCAGAAGTGTCCAATTCAATAACAGATCAACTTGGTTCAATTACATAATATATATCATCACGTCTGTACACTTACTTCGATAAACGAAGTCTGAAACGCTTTATCATTGTTCAACGCCTGACTCAACACTTTGTCAAATTTATCTTTCAAGTCCAATACTTCCTGCACCCATCGTATTGCCACAGCTGTGCCAGTTTGCTTATCATTGGCAGAGGAAGTATTGCTGCCTCCTTCCCCACCACCCAGGCTGGTCGCACCACTTGTGACTTTTTCATTTATGATTTTACCGAGAGCTCGGATGTGCGTAGATATGGCAGATTTCATTTCCTCGTGGCCAGTGTCTACGCGGAAAAATAATTTATACATACGGGCTAGGTCTGTGCGTTGAATACAGAGTGAATGGGAAGAGAATATGAAGTAGGTCAGCAGATGTATAATAGTTAAACCACGAGTATTACAGAAACGCAATATTTCTTATGAGTTGAGAAAGCTTACCGTCCATCTTCTCGTTCGTCAGCATGGGAATCAATCCAGAGTTCTCCATCTATAAAACCATGATTAGTCCAGCCTGTTCAGTTCTACAGAAAAAACCATGCCGCAAAATAATGTACCTCTATGACAGTCTTTAAATGTTTCGAAATCATCTGCTTTTCAACGATTGCTCTTATTTTTGGTTCCGTTGTTACTGACAAATAATGTCGAATTCTTTGTTCTTCTTCGGTTAAGCGATTTTCTACCTATGTGTTCGATTAGATGGTATTTGACAAATGTTATATCAAGAAAATAATGCTAGCATTCAGAGCTCGGTATCATTCATACGTTATTCGCACTACCATGGTGTATACATGAATAAATGCAAACTGCCATACAAGCATTAAATATATTTGCATCCACCCACTTCCCCATCTCAACTCCCAACACTTTCTCCCAAACTTTATCCGTTTCCCCAATCTCCTCTCCATGTCCAAACCTTTTTCATATATTCCGGTGCGTCACACTTTGCAACTAAATTTTGTCCTTCCAAGTTGTAAAAGTCCTCACTCGTCTCCAAGAACTTCCCCTCAAAGTCAATCGCATACACAGACTCATGATTTGTCGAATCGGTCAATTCCAACAGCATATTCATGGCTGCTTTAACCGCAGATCGATCGATGATTTCGTTTTCGCGTTCAAGACGAATTTGTTGTAAAAGAACATTAAGAAGATGTGTTTGAATAGGAAGCTGGGGAGAGCGAACAATTGTGTTGCAAAAGAGCTCGAGGCCAAGGTCGTAGACTAGAGCAACTTTGGCTGATTTAGCATAAACACGATCCTAATTATATCGATATAATAATGGTTTGCCGATTGAAAATTATGAATAATGTCATTGTTATTCTACCACACATATATGCCTCAAACCTTACCATATACATCAAAATATCTCTTATCATCATCATACAAGTAGTATGATCTTCCCAGACCCTCTTCAAAACCTTCAGAAAGTTACCACCATTCCCCCCGCTAGCCGCCCTTCTGCTCACAATACTCGTTTCGCTGACGGGAAACGCAGGTGCCACTTCTTTCAATGCGACTTCTTCAAGATGCTGTGTGATCACATCTTTAACACCCGAATACAATTTTTCGCCATTTTTATGCAAGACCATGTTGTATGCATTGCGATAGAGTTCTTCGAACGAAAGCACGGAAGCATTTTTCTTGTGAATCTCGCGGATGGCTTGTGCAAGTCGTTCCCATGTGTTATTGTTCTGGGTTTCGGTCGGTGACTATTAAATTGGTTATGAAGGAGTAAAGAGGGGTGAATGTGAAATAAAGAAACAGAAAAATGTTTGGGTAGAGAAAGAAGGAAAAGTGAATTAAGATAAAAACAGACGCATGGTTATTTTTTTTAGAATTAAATTGGTTTGTTTGTTAATTGATTAGAATGGGGCATATAACAAAATAGGCATCGCATATTTCAATTGACAAGAAAGGCATTCTGTCAAGATAATTCACCCCAACAGATCAGATACTTGACAGTTCTTCAGCCTGTCAAAACTAATGCAACACAATCCCGCAATTAGCGCATGTGTTCTGACATCATTGTTATTGTGAGAAGCTATTTGCACTTCGAATACAAATACCATAGCAAATCACTCTTGGACAGACAAAGCACTCTACTCTCTTGCAAAAGCTCATAGTCTTATATTTCTATTCTTTCCCCTTTTCTTTCGTGACCAGAGGAATTACAACAAACAACTTACAGTCTTTCTCGATGACTTCTTTGCTGATTGCTTCTGTCCTCCTCGTCTGGAGCTCATGCTGTTTGCGACCCTGACGACAAATCAAATATTCAGGTGCCTTTTATTCTTTAGCGGGTATCTACTATATGAAGACGATAATCCTAACTTAATATATTCACAGCTTGTGCAATTGTACACGGTATTTGTACTTTACAAAGGTGAGGGGTATAGCAAGATCGATAAGATAAAATGAACTACAATGCTACTTCTTCTTTTTATTCTTACTGCGGTGAGCGATAGAACGATGTACAAGCTAGTGAACCAGTTTATTATATACCATTTATATAATGTTGTCTCAAAGGACGCTGAAGGAGATTTGGTTTCTTTCTGTTTACGTGTAACCTCAGCTGTAGATCATGTTACATTCACCCAATCAGAGTCAAGCAATGCCAATTTTGATTTTTTTAAAATCGGTGGTTGATGTTAAGTGAATCTCTCTCTTATTTTTGACTGTATTGGAAGATGGTAGGTACATGAATTGAATTGCCTTGTTCTCAATCAGATGAAGAAATGGGTGGTAGGATGCGATGAGGAGGAGGTGGTTGTTTAATTGAAAGAGAGGGCTTTCGGAGACGGATGAATGGAATAGTTTTGGATCAGAAGATGCAATATAATAATAGTATGGTGAAAGGAGTTAGCAGTAATTCTTCCTGTAATAGACTATAACAATAAATGCGTTCGTTATATCAACATGCTCACTCTTTGCTTTTCGCAGGTCAAGAAGGAAGCTGCCAAGTCATCTTCGGGTGGGAAAACAAAAAAGAAGGTATTATTAATCGCAATGTCATTCTATTCTGTCTAGATATCAAACACATAAATCACAACCTCGTTGTCCGATATTACTTGAAGACGTCTAATAGATTCTTGCCGTCCCCCTCATATTTTAGAAATGGTCAAAAGGAAAAATCAAGGATAAGGCTAACAACGCTATCATCCTTGATACCGCCACATATGAGAAACTTCACAAAGAAGTTCCCCTATACAAACTAATTACACCTTCCGTACTGGTTGATCGTCACCGCGTGAACGGATCACTAGCACGAGCTATAATTCGAGAGTTCGAGGAGAAGGGACTGATTCGGAAGATTTCTACTCACGGTTCGCAGTTGATTTATAGTATGTATTGTTTTGAAGCATGTGGGAGTGGGGAAGTAAAGTTTTGGAAAAGTTGAATCGATCAGGATTTGTGTGCGGTTTAACTTCAGTCATGCGGTTTAATCTGTTATATTTATCGTTACTTGATCAGTTTACTAACTATTCTTTCTGTCTTCCTTTGGGTTAGCTCGTGCCACTGCTGCTATTGACAAAACCGAAAAAACCGACAAGGTTGAATCTTAAGTTTAATTTACGGCAATATGTGAGCATACACGCGGAACTATCGTACCATGTAGAAACGTTAATAAATGAATCAACATTCCTTAGCATATCTTTTGTATTATTACACCCTTGGACATTAATATATACTCTTACGATACGTGGGCGCTAAAATTGGATGGCTGCGTTATTGGATGGAGACTTTATTCAATATAAGAGTTTGATTATAAGCTACTGCTGTCAAGTGTTCTCAAGAGGAGTTTACTTCTAAAACCCGATCCGTTACTCGCAGACATGTGAATTCTCAATTGTAAAGCAGTGCAAAAATGATTCGTATAATACATGTAGTTCAATAGTAAGAACCACATTTGGACTGTAATATATAAACCGATGAGAACTTGGTAAAGATAACCCTAGAACCATTATTACCAAAGCGTGTCTTTATCCTTAAATCAAGAAACGGAATGTTATTGTGCAATCAGCCCCACTTTCTCTTACAGCTGACGTGAGCCCAACGATTAGTTACCAGGTTGCCAGAATAACCAGACAGAATCATGTTTGCGGTGCACCCACTGACCACTGCTTATTATTATAAATAATAGATGAATAACACAAATATAATTCATACAATTATTTACATTGTTTCTCTTTAATGGTGCCTGCCAAGAATTCGAGTAGTATGAAAAGCATTCAAGATGCTATCTTTCGAGGTTGTGTCCTATCAACAATTTGTATCAGTTACGTCTCCTCCAATGACGGGGAACCGCCGTCTCATATTCATGTGAATACAGTAGCCAGCTAGTATGCCTATTCTATGAGATTCTCAAGTATCTCAATTTACTATTAATAAATTTAGAACTTTCTTACCAAATCGTCGTATAGTCCAATGTTATAAGATAATTATATAGTCAAGGGAATCACTTGGTTCATGATGGACAACAAGCTTAGAGCCGACGAAAAGAATCGTACAAAACGGTTGTTCCAGAGCGATGCTGTTAAATGTATATTAACCAGACAAACGGTAGTAATGATAAACAGCCGTGGGCGATACGCGCTCACCCGTTCTCTATTATAAAGTTTCTATGATCAGACCATACGCATACACCCTCAATGCTAGGCTTTTTGTACCAGCAATGCGTTTTTAATTAGCAGTGACTGGGGTAATGGTTAGCCGCACCGTTTTTGTCTGAACACGCTTGTGCCTCTGATATTTTCTCCATAGAAATTAGTATTCAAAAACGAAAAAAAAAAAAAAACATTGCAGAGGCATTAATGGCATGCTGCTTGCTAAGAAAAAGAATATAGACGAGAATATATGATTGACTTAATTTCTGGGATACAACATCGATAAATTCTCTGGAGAGGAAGTTTTAAATAATCAGATGCAAAGGAATGTCGCATATTCCACATGCTAACTTACCCGTTGAAAGATTAATCCGCTGTCTCTGAAAATAATTGTTTACGGAGTATTTATAGAGACATCAAGGATAGAAAATTTGGGAATAGTTCTACGATAACGTGATAGTAACAAACTGATATCTAACAACAAACTGTGACATCTTACGCTGGTAGTTTCCGTAAGTTTACATTCTTTAGTGATTGTTGTGGAAATTTTAAATATAAAGTAATATAATCAAGAGACCATGACAAAACTATTACGCTCGGTCACCTGGGAGAGCGTTTGGGTTTAAATTGACCAGGATATTCTCAAAATTTAGCTATAAATGTGGCTTGCAACTTGCTTACACACTGTGTTAAGCTAAAATTTGCAGGTACTTCCTATTGACAAAGTATAAACTATATCTCGAATGTGAGGCTATACTATCTAGCTAAAAAAAATATTACACCGATAATCGAGCTATTCTTCCTGTCTTAACCTGATCCGCTTAACTATCATTGGAACAACAACTAATAATGGAAAAGTGTATTAATTATAAGGGGCAATAAAATATTCGGCGTGTCTAATTAAGAAATTCCTTATTATACTCGTTCTCGGCACTCCTAGCGAATGAGTCCAATCAAAAATCGTAGACGATAAATTTAATTGATTTCACTATCGATCGTAGTAATAATTATTTGCTGACACGTTCCAAAACGATGGACCCTGTCACGAATTAAATTGTTTTCTGTGAAACTGGGGCGCACTTTGATTTGTTAGATGTCTGTTACACTTGTTATGCTTGTTACACTAACATTTCAGATGCGGCATATTTGCGAAATCGATGATGTCGGCTTACAAGATGATACTAGCAAGGCAGATGAATCATTTCCATTTATAGAACTTATTACCGAACTCTAACTCGTTTAGATACCTATAATCACAAGTTTGATTATGCGCAACATTATAATAGTACAATAGTAATAATGTTTTGTAATAGCATCCATTTTTTGAGAGCATAATTCATCCAATACTGGAGTCACCTCTGAAACTATAAACACTTCAATTAAGATATTTATACTAACTAGGGGCATATGTCACTACTTACTATAAATAGTTCTTAAAAACCAGCAGCAGCAACCAGTATGGCTTTCTTTGTGCAATGCTATTTTGGTTGGTGTTGTCTGTATGGAATTGGAGCTGAACAGGATGAACAATGGGCATATGAATCATATGCTGAACAAGAAAAAAATACTGATGCACAATTTAAACTTGGTGTGTGTTATCAATATGGAATTGGAGTAGAAAGAGATGATCAAAAAGCATTTGAATTATATCAACAAGCAGCTGAACAAGGAAATGCTGATGCACAACATAATCTTGGCTGGTGCTATGAACATGGAACTGGAGTGGAAAAAAATAAACAAAAGGCAGTTGAATTTTATCAAAAAGCAGCCGAACAGGGAAATGGCAGTGCACAATGTCATCTTGGTTTCTGTTATGAAAATGGAACTGGAGTAGAAAAAAATGAACAAAAGGCAATTGAATTGTATCAAAAAGCTGCCAAACAAGGAAATGCCCAAGCACAACATAATCTTGGTTCATGTTATAGAAATGGAACTGGAGTAGAAAAAGATAAACAAAAGGCAGTTGAATGGTACCAAAAAGCAGCTGAACAAGGAAATCCTGATGCACAGCATAATCTTGGCTGGTGTTATGAACATGGAACTGGAGTGGAAAAAAATGAACAAAAGGCAGTTGAATTTTATCAAAAAGCGGCTGAGCAAGGAGATGCCCAAGCACAACATAATCTTGGCTGGTGCTATGAACATGGAACTGGAGTAGAAAAAAAATGAACAAAAGGCTGTTGAATTTTATCAAAAAGCAGCTGAACAAGGACATGCTAAAGCACAAAATAATCTAGGTGTGTGTTATAAGAATGGAACTGGAGTAGAAAAAAATGAACGAAAGGCAATTGAATTTTATCAAAAAGCAGCTGAACAAGGAAATGCTAAAGCACAAAATAATCTTGGTGTGTGTTATGAAAATGGAACTGGAGTAGAAAAAAATAAACAAAAGGCTGTTCAATTGTATCAAAAGGCAGCTAAACAGGGGGATGCTTATGCACAATACAATCTTGGTGTGTGTTATGAGAATGGGACTGGAGTAGGAAAAGATAAACAAAAGGCTGTCAAATTGTATCAAAAAGCTGCTGAAAAAGGAGATGCTTATGCACAATATAATCTTGGTGTGTGTTATAGACATGGAATTGGAGTAGAAAAAAATAAACAAAAGGCTGTTGAACTGTATCAAAAAGCTGCTGAACAAGGAAATGCTGATGCACAACATAATCTTGGTGTGTGTTATGAATATGGAACTGGAGTGGGAAAAAATGAACAAAAGGCTGTTGAACTGTATCAAAAGGCAGCTGAACAGGGAGATGCTTATGCACAATACAATCTTGGTGTGTGTTATGAGAATGGGACTGGAGTAGGAAAAGATGAACAAAAGGCTGTTGAATTGTATCAAAAGGCTGCTGAACAAGGAGATGCCTATGCACAATATAATCTTGGTGTGTGTTATAGACATGGAGCTGGAGTAGAAAAAAATGAACAAAGGGCTGTTGAATTGTTTCAAAAAGCTGCTGAACAAGGACATGCTGATGCACAACATAATCTTGGCTGGTATTATGAACATGGAACTGAAGTAGAAAAAAATGAACAAAAGGCTATTGAATTGTATCAAAAGGCAGCTAAACAGGGAGATGCTTATGCACAATATAATCTTGGTGTGTGTTATAGACATGGAACTGGAGTAGAAAAAAATGAACAAAAGGCTGTTGAATTGTATCAAAAAGCTGCTGAACAAGGAGATGCTTATGCACAATATAATCTTGGTGTGTGTTATAGATATGGAACTGGAGTAGAAAAAAATGAACAAAAGGCAGTTGAATTGTATCAAAAAGCTGCTGGACAAGGACATGCTGATGCACAACATAATCTTGGCTGGTGTTATGAATATGGAACTGGAGTAGAAAAAAATAAACAAAAGGCAGTTGAATTTTATCAAAAAGCAGCTGAACAGGGAAATGCCAGTGCACAATTTAATCTTGCTTTATGTTATAAGGATGGAACTGGAGTAGAAAGGGATGAAGAAAAGGCAGTCAAATTGTATCAAAAAGCAGCTGAACAAGGATATGCCAGTGCACAATGTAATCTTGGTTTGTGTTATCATTATGGAACTGGAGTAGAAAAGGATGAAGAAAAAGCAGTTGAATGGTATCAAAAAGCTGCTGAACAAGGAAATGCTGATGCACAATGTAATCTTGGTTCATGTTATCATTATGGAACTGGAGTAGAAAAAAATGAACAAAAGGTAGTTGAATTGTGTCAAAAAGCTGCTAAACAGGGAAATTCCAGGGCACAAAATATTCTTGGTTTTTGTTATGAGTGGGGAATTGGAGTAGAAAGGGATCAGCAGAAGGCAGTTGAATTGTATCAAAAAGCAGCTGAACAAGGACATGCTAATGTACAATAACAATACAATCTTGGTTTTTACTATCAGTATGGAATTTATTATTTATGTGGAGCAAGATGATCAAAAAGCAATCAAATTATGTGAAAAAGCATCTGAGCAAGGATATAGTAGAGCTTGAAGACATATTTACAATATTAGTTTCTCCAATGATAAAATCTTGAAAGAGAATTCTATCAGAAAAAGAATAAGATCAGATAAGCAGCTTACCATGTAATTATTGTGCCTTAAAATCTAGACTTTGCCTGATTAGAGAAGACTTTTGACTATTAATTTATGGGATAATGTTAATAGTTGGCTGATAGTTAAACAGCTTTACATTAAATCATACTAATATTCCTTTTTATTGCCCTGCAATTATATATTTATTTTTATCTGGTATCAGAATTTAATTAATATGACATGACTTACCACTCATACTCAGCCCCCATTTATAAAAGTCTGTACTGAAATTTCGTTTAGTTAACTTTATTTTTACAATAAAACTATAAATAAAATATTTTGCATTTCACATGCTTACTATTACTATTACAGGCATATGATTACAAAAGTCATATCTTTTATTGCACAACAAATAATAATTAACAATTTGTCAAACTGGGTCACACATGCCTCAATGAATTAATGCAATCTCATCACTAATACTAATTACAATGCTAATGTTATATAAAGTCAAATATGACTAAGCATGAGTAACTCTACTTGGTGCAGTTGCTATTCAGAAAAAACCAAGTTTGTTGCTTACTACTTTACAGAAACCTGTAGTTTTTATAAATCTCTCTGTGACATCAGAATAAGGTCACCACTATCTAACAGGCATTACGTAATGAGATTGTCATGAGAATTCTAATTTTAGTGTATCGTGAAGATGTGCCCACAAGACTTCCGGGATGCATGGAAATTTTACGAAGTTGAACAATCTAGCAGAATCTCGTGACAAGATCGCCAGGATATTAATAGAAATTTAGCAATTTGTTGGTGACATCGACAAGATGTTTCTGATTGTAAATGTCACATGGTTATCAGCACAACGTCCTGCAAATCTCATTGAGACATTTTTAAAAAATGCAAGTTTCTGTAAATTACTGCTACATGTTAATGTGGGCTGTCTATACTTTAGATGTCTTAACTTCTGGAGTCGAATAAATAATTTCAAATACGTAAAGCTGTCAGTTGTAGCAATTCTTTGCAACTTCATGTAAGAGTCAATACATGCTCTAAACATTAACAAGAAGATTTATTCAGTCCATTTACAGTACATATACTAATACAGTCAACCCTATTATAGTTCTGGGTACCATTTGGCTATAGTAATAGTGATAGTTTTTTGCCCCATTTTAATTTAATATGAAAATTGCTCTACTATCATAAACATTACAGTATGTATAAATCTCCTTATTTATTATTGTCCCTGTTACCAAAAGCCTGGGATATAATAATAAGTGACGATCTTTGTCTATGGTCACACATTTGATCGCTGCCTTAATAAAAAATGAAAGTTTTGATGAAAGTGAATAAACAAACCTTTACAGTGAGCAGAAATATTTTGCTGACTTTCCTCATCTATTATCTGAGGTTTTCACCCTAGAGGCTCGCTGCATTTATGAATATGACTGGCGAAATATTTTTTGACATTCCAGAACGGCAAAAGGTGTCAGCTGTTAAGAAAGGCAGCTAGTAGAAGCGTAATCATATAAACAATTTTTCAAGTGCTTAAATATGGTGGTGGGGTGGGCACAAAAGTAATAAAAATAGATTGACAAAATAATAGCATAAATAATCAATTGCATATAACGAATAAGATAACACAATAATTATTTATTCAAACTAACGGATATTTAAATCTTTATCATGATATTATTATGTAATCTATTTTGTTACATAAGTAACACGTCTTGGTCTAATATTATAAACTGCCTATAAATAACAATTATCGTCAAGAAATCATCCCACGCTTGATGTCGTAAAGTATGATTCAGTATTTTAACACGGATTAATGTTGGTCTTTACAATAATGATTACTCATATAGTGGTACCCGTTAAAGTGGGAGATAAATGTGTGGGCTTTCTTGACTATAATTAAATAACAACGTAAATATTTACTTTAAATATAATTCTGTGTCTAATATGACTTTTTCGTGTATGGTAGGCGGAAGAATGTTTACAGGAAATGAAAATAAGAAAGTCATTAGCTTGTGTAGGTCTTATTAAGTATTATCGCGATGCGCATAAAAGTTAGAAAACTTTCACATGTAAAATGCTGGAATACGTAATATTAATATAATAAGAGCATGTATTATGAACAAACAGCGACTAATTATTTAGTGTGACTCTACAAAATGGTTTTTTTTATTATGATTAAATTATGAGCCAGTTAAATTTAACAAATCATGGTAAATATCTAGTTTACTAGGAGTAATATGAGTACAAAGTGAAGGCTCTAGGAATTCATTATACGCAAACTACCGACAGGGGTAGATAGTGTGGTGGAACAACAAAAAATCTTTATCCAAACTCGTGGATTTGTGCACTGTAAAGCGCAAAACATAGAAATAAGGGCAAGCTCAATAATTGGATTTTCAGTCTGCATTTATAGTAAATTGCAACTTTTACTAGATAAAGTGGCATGTCGGAATGTAACACATTGTTATTAATAGGCTACGAATCAATAGCACTCTTAGAAAACAATGTCATTAATTTAAAGAAATCTTCGATGAATATATCAACAGTTTTGAGACATTCATTTTTTAAGGTAATAATATAAGCAAAAAATTAAAGACAATGTATTCACTTGCAGTTATAAACCCTTTCTTTCACACGGGTCAGATATGGTTATTGTAAAGTATTTGATGGTAACGCCTGAGCATGCAAGAACACACTGTCAGTATTTCTGTTTTGCACGACTGAATTACTGACAGATATTGACCGTTGATTTAAGCGGCGTAGTTAATAATATATCTTGTAATGGAAAACATTATATTATAATAATAGGCAAAGAAGAAATATAATATAACTATCATACATGGTATAATAGTGGAAAGCAGAAACCATCGTTTGGGACAGGCGGTTCTAAGAAATTGCACAATTTCCTATTAATTGGCAAAGTTATTTTCGTCATAGGCTGCCATATAAGATATAATAAAGAAAGATAAAAAACGATTGTGGACAATATAGAATAATGAAGTAATACGAGCTTAAGCCAATATTGTTTAGTAACTAAACTTGTGTCAAATATTTGGGAGATTGTTTGACTAGCCGATAAATGATATGCCCTCATTTAATCAAATTACTGCGTGCGGTTCTGGGATCAGAACCCCATGACTAATGTTGTGCTATTTCTCTTTCCTTGGCTGATACACAACCTATCTGTATGCATATACTTGGAAGAGTTTCATTGATACAGCTGCATGTCAATTTTCCCCCATTGTATCGTTACATCTCACAAGATTTTTTAAGAAAGCACTGTTGTTCGTTTTTAGTAATGATTGACCATACTCAGCCCCTTAACTCTAAAATTTTATTGTCGAATACCTGAGAAAGATTATCCGTCTACTTTTTTTTTGTTACTAACTCTTTGAAGTTCCGTCGTCACCAAGCAGGAAATACTCAAGCCTGGAGAATCAATATTGACAAAGATGTGTTTGGTACGACTATAGTTGGAAAGTACCCACATCGATTGCGAATCTGCTGCGTATTGGTATAACGTACACCACCGTTACACATCGATTAATCAGTTAGAACAAACGAAATCTACGAATAAAACCATTCCACATACACAAATAAACGGCAATGTATGTGGCTTAATTAAGAATAACAATAATGTTAAATATGTTACATAGATGTGTTACTGTGATGGCGCATGATATCCAACTTAAAAAACCTTCATCTGCCACCCCCAACAAATTTTTCTCATTGCTTATGCAGTCGTCGTCGTCGTTATAATCACAACAACAAAAACCACAATCACAATATTATTATAATCATTATTACCATTATTATCACCACCATCAACCAACCAAACCCATCGTCATCAAGAGACAATATGAATAACTTTCAGGAAATAATATTCGACCAAGACCCAACCATGGAACTCAGACATTCGGCATGGTTGTTGGAACCACCAACGGGAGTGACATTAGGAATGACAGTGGAGGAGCTTTTAGCCCCCGGTAAACGACCGAAATCGAAACCGACACCTCCCCGGCCGCAGGAGCCGCAAATAATATTCGGAAAAAATTTTAGGGCGCTACATCGAATGGAGTTTGAAGATGGGAGCAAATGCTCCATGAATGAGTGGAAGAACGCTCTTCCCGTAGTCAAAGAATTCTTTGTAATGTTGTCTAAAGAAGCAAAAAAACGTCATGCTATCAAATATCCGAATTATAAATACAAACCGCGAAGAAAAGTGAACGGTTCCAAAAGAAGAAGAAATCAGAGATCTCCAAGCGTTAGCCCTCCTGAAACTCCACAATACAGCCCAGCAGGTCAATCCATTGAAAGTTCGCCGGCGAGCAACATAACTCCGGAAGAATTCGGGACTCAAGATGACGATGGGTTTTCATACTTTGACTACGAGCTATATATGCGAATGATGACGGGTACGCAACATTAACGACGACGACGACGACAAGATATAACTGGATTATATTCGAAGTGGTTTCCCATGACCTATCGTTCGTAGTGGCATCCTGTTACCCCACAGTAGAATTTTTCAAGCAATGACTACTCGATGTATACTTGATGAACTTGTCTTAGCAGCCATTCCCTGAAATATTCTATTGTAGGATGACTGGATTTCGACTGCGAATATTAGGTTATGGGGTTTCACTTCGGCAATACTCCTTTAATATATTGAAATTTGTAAGAGAGTGAATTTTTTTGAGCTTTTTTTTTATATTTTAAATATCATGTCATAACATATTATAAATGTTAGTATACAATTTGTGAGGTCGTTTATTAGCTTAGCTTATACGTATATATAGTAAGCACGTAAATAGTTTGTATGTTGTGCTGTGCTGAGAAGCACCAAATAAACGAAATCGCGAATAAAGCGTTTTATGGTTTGTTAAAAACATTATGTCTGCATTTGCATAACAATATAAGTATTGTTTCAAGTGGTTTACTCGTTAGAAGAAAAACGCCCGATCAAAGCACTAAAATGATTACGTTACGAAATGTCTAAACATATGTGTGCAGGGAATGATAGACGTTTACGCCATCTTGTGATACTTATCGTATTTCATAATAAAAGTTCTGGCACTTTAGTTGGGCAATTATCGTCATATCTTAAGTGCTTATTTGCAAGTCTTTTTATCGACAGCATATATTTCTGTGTGATATCTGCGTGACATCCAAGATTATGTCCTTACCATCGGAACACAACGTCTGGATGTGTTATGATGGGTCCGTATTATTTCATCGACAATCATTTCACCGACAGTACATTTCACCGACAATTAACTACCAAAAAAGGATAACTTTGGAATAATGTTTGGTGAATATTTGTCGGTTCAATGATACGATTAGCCCTGGCGGGACCTGTCGTTTGTATGATTGCCTCCCGTTATGATTTGTAAGCTTTTCTGTAAGTCCCGCTCTTAATAGCATTCAAAGAACGACCGCTATTAAATTAAAAGCCTTATCATTAGGCAAATAAATAATCAAGGACAAAAATATATAACAATAACTAGAAAAGTTAAAATAAATACTGTTTGTTTTTGTTGAACACATTCACTTTTTCTTTTTACCAAAAATTTTGTAAACGCTGCCACCAAGAAGTACCCGATGTTTAATTTATTTGGATAACTCTTTGCGGTTCTTGAAATTTTAATCGATTTGTTCCTCGTTCTGTCACAAGATAAATACTGGTTAACATTAAACTTACACCGTCTACTTACATTTGCTAAAGACTTAGCAGGTGAATAAATAAGGTAATTTAACTATAAATATAAACAAATTACTTAATGGTTCTCTAGAACAATAATTTTTTTAACTTGAGGTGTGTTTATTTGTAACTTGGTAACTAACATTAATTGCGAAAGTTACAGAGCGTCAACCTTCGATAAAAATTTCTTATTTGTAAAATTAGATGTAAAAAGTTCTATTGCGGCTAATCGCTATAAAGTCATCACAAAATGCTGATCATCTGGTGTAGTTTAAATGATTTGTAATACAGTAGTTCGAAAGCTCTCTTATTTTGAGCGCAAAGATTAAAATAAGCCCTTATTGTTTAACATACGGTCTTGTAAAGGTTTAAACCAACATGGACAGAAGTATTCGCAGTTTGCCGCTAACTCAGGAAATAAACGGTTTCGTTCTTTTGCAAGTTCCTTTTTAACCTTTCTACTGATTTATTTTTTCCTGTATATTAATGTTCATTAGACGCCACACGTTTTCAATAGAATTTCGATCCAGAGACATTCACACTGTATATTGATAATAAATAACATTATTGCCAAAATGAGATAATAAAATTTAGTGCAAGGACACCAACCACTGCCTAAATCAGTAAACTTCCCTAGCAACTTAAAATGAAAGTTTCTCATAAAGTTGAAACAATGGTACGACACGCTGAATCGAAGGCGCCTGTATTCAATTTTTCTCAAAATACTTGTCGAGAAAGAGAATTGTGGTTACTAGGCGGTATACGATTCGAAGAATAGTTATGGAAAAACATGGCAGTTCGAATGAGGGTAAATGTGCAACGGCTACTAACCCCCCCTGCCTTTTTACGACTCGTAAAAAGTGATAATGTATTGACGATGTTGAGTTTGTAAGTCTGTGCGAGGTAACACAATATAACGATAAAGCGTTGTCTGAAAAAAATTTTTCTCATTCAAACTATGTCGTTAGTTTCAGGGGTTAAGGTCACTCACAATTTAGTAATTGATAATTTGGTTCAATCCTCCTTGTCAAACGAAGTCGAAAGTAAAAGACTTGAATGGATTCCTTGCTCGCAAATTACCGGCATAAAACCAAGTCAAATTGACACCGTCTACTATGCTACTCGCAAACACACACTGGATAATGGCAGAGTCAAGGAAACGATGATAATGCTTTCACTACTTGGAAGTGATGAAACCTGTACATCAACGTCTGTGAATGAGTTTGCTAGAATATACTCGCTTCCGACACACAAGTACAACAATGACGTCAGTCAATTTAGACGATATAAGGAATGGCTTAGCAACCGTAACAGACTCATAATTGGATTTACCGAGTATGATAACAAATATTACATGGTTGCCGATAAACTCTTTTACCACTGTTATTCCCGATATGGATTCTGCTCTGCATGTGGAATACTCCGATGCAGTCCCGTGTGGTGCATCTGTGGACATAAACAATTATCCAATGGATGGACTAGCAACAATAAACAACTCGATGAGTTTATTAAGAAATCTCAACTACAAACAAACTCTGCAAATGATGCTTATTTGGAATGGATTCCATTTGATTGTATTGATGATAGCAATAGAGGATATGGGTATGGATTCTTGTATGGTATGCCTACTTATGACGCTATTAAATTGATTCCGATTGAAATGACGGATGAGACGGATGATTTATATTATTACAAGGTGATTATCAAGTTTAATACATTATGTTTATTCATTGTTTAGATAAATATTGATTTATGTATAATTTCCACTAGTTATGTGATGAACATTCGGTCATTCTTACTACAGATGTTTGGGTTACCATCGGGTTTACATATGATGTCCAGGAACAAAAGTATTGTCTAATAAAACAACGTGACGAAATTGGATTCTGTCTGGCGTGTACGCAGCGACTAGAACCTAAGATAAATGCATTCTGTTATGAATGTAAAACACCAGCACCTCCTACTTGGACTACAGGCAACAAGTCTTTGGATTCATTCATAATGGAGTCGTGGAGTAATATTGAGCATGAATATGATGCCTATATACAATGGATAGATTATTCCCTATTAATGAACGTACGAGAAATGACATTATTACGCCATGGATGCACACATATAGCGACAATAAATGAAACAACACAAGTGACACTCAAGCAGATAGTAATAGGTGATACCAATACTCAGTCGCTTGATTTTCATCAGGTAAATTATTTCACGTGTAAAATAATGCAAATAATATCAAGTCTGCAATGCATTGATTGTTGTAACGACTGTATTTATAGCTGACTAAAGAATACCCGGAGATATTAACCCCCGAGAATATCTGGATAATTGGAATTACTCAAGAACCATCTACTCAAGCATATTACTTGGTTTTTTACTACGACGTACATGCAATATTGCACAAATTTATACGACTTGACAAACGCATAAACTACATGCACTATACTGACTTTTCTGAAATTAAGGAGATTGGATCTGGTGGTTATGGAACAGTTTATACTGCCAACTATAAATATGACTTAAAAGAGAATGTGCCAAAAACTGTTGTATTGAAACGCTTCAAGAGTCATGATCAAACACCGGACTTATTTATTAACGAGGTAAGCATTTTTTGATATTATTAATTAAAGGGATATTAATCTAACTCTCGTTATTTATTTAATAGTTCAGAAATCATACCAAATGCGTAAACAGTAGTTATTTATTCCTTAAAATTTATGGAGTGACACAAGACCCAGAAACAAAAGAGTACATGATTGTTATGCAATATGCTAACAATGGTAGTCTTGTGTCTTATTTGAATCAAAATATTAACAAATTGACGTGGAGAAGGAAAATCGAGCGTTTGAACCATATTGCAATTTATCTACTCCGTATTCATAGAGTGGGATTAGTGCATTGTGATCTACATGGAGGAAACATAGTTATGCATAATGACAATGAATCATTCATATGCGATCTCGGCCTTTCTCAATCGGTGAATTCACGCGAGTCAAATTCAACCATTCGAGGCGTTTTACCCTTTATTGCACCAGAAGTCTTTCATACTTGCAAATTTACACAGAAATCAGACACATATTCTTTCGGTATTATTATGTATTTGATGGCCACTGGCGAACCACCATTTAGAGGTAGGCAGTTTGATAGAAATTTAATATGCGATATTATGGGTGGACTACGACCAACGATGCCTGATTCGGCACCAGAAGAATACAAAAAACTTGCCGAGCGGTGTTGTGATGCTGATCCCGATAAGCGTCCAGATGCAAATACACTTTGTAAAAATATTTACAAGCTTATTGGGGATGAGTCAAGCAGAAGCATATTGGATACCATTTATCAGAATGATGTAAAACCCTTATCACGTATGGAGAAGGAGAGTAAATATTGTAGTATACTCTTACCTACCAAAGATTTACCTAAACCGAGAAACAGTTACGATTATGATTTGGATCCAGCTGCAGGTATTAGTGTGAAGATAATAGCTGGTTTGATGTAAACAAACTAATTTATAATATTAACATTGTCCATTATCTTCTAATTTAGTGACTCAAGCTCTTAAATGAGCTTGTGAATCACAGAAGCCTTTCGGTGAATATCATGTTTACAATAAAAAGCTTACGTATGTTAATTCGGATAATGATCGCAGAAAGTTGGCGTCCAAATTAACAAAAGTTGATTGTATACGAGTAATGGCACATTCGGTATCAATTGTATACAGACAAATGAAGTCATTTTTAAATTCAAATATTATATTCATGTCTTTTGGTTTCTCACAAACGTTGCTTAAAATTAAATTTGTACCTTAACTAGATTTAGAATTTTGTAGGGGTTT